TGACGTGTAAGTCATATATTGGTTGTGGTGACCCAGTCAGCTCACTGGCGCTGTCAACAGGCAAAAGTTTTCTGTCCGATCGCCTTACTACTCATTTCACCCGCAAGTGAGCGTAGGACGCTCATCTAAGGGCTGATTTCAGGCACAATTCTCTTTTTTCGGTAGTTATTTTTGACGATAACTCTGTGCGGTGGCGAATTACGTGACCGAGGCGTAGCTATTCACAATGCCATGGTCATACTCATCTACAGTACTCGTGTTTACAGCGGTTAGCTCTCTGTAGTGGTCCTTTTGGTCTGTCCCGTTATATCCTGGAACTCCGGACCTTTCGCTGACGACACCACGTCACCAACTACACTGTTACCTGAAGGAAAAAGTACAAAGCGTTACCATGATCCTAAGACGTACCTTTTCACGAACAGGCACCGCATTGCATCATCCGCAGTGCGTGGTTGGTCAGGTGACCTTTGATCTATTCGCCGAGCTTCACACTTAGCTTGCAAATGTCTCATCACCAATCGAGGTAACATCACTGCGCGAACTGATGGTTTCAACTCGATTGGTGACGAAATATTTGCAAGCTCACCGCCAAGCTCGGCGAGCAAATCATCACTCAACGCACCCGGGCAACAAACATTGCAGTACATTCCCATCCGACCGTTTCCGGTCTTCGCATTAGTGCTCGATGTAGAGGATTTCTATTCCAATGCGATGACTGACTCTGAACACGACTAGTACATGATTTTGTCCAATTTAACTTCAACTTCCGTATTTCTCCCCGTCGCAACAGTTTGTTCGATCGACGATCTACATTTGACGAACCAATCCCGCCCAACATGCCGAATTCAATCCTCGACGTTGCCGACTTGTGATTCTCCTGTTCTGCCCTCCAGACATTACAGACAAAACAAAACCGACCAAGTCTTTCCAGTTAAGACTTACAGGAACGCTTGAATATTTTTGTGTAAAGATTATTTCTTTTCCTTTCAAGAAAGTCTTGTTTGTCATATCGAGGAAAACCATCATTTCGGGGCCACAGGAAACCCGATGCACGCATTCGCACGCAAACTAGTGCACCCCACCCCTCATTAAGTAAACTTTCTTGGTGTACGAAAAAGCAAGCCCCGCATTGAAGATCTCATTTGGGCCTAAACGAAATGGGTTCCTGGGAGGAGTAACCAAAACATCTCGGGCAAGAGGTTTCATAAACTCCACCGTACCGGTACCGGTTTTTCGTCCCAGTAGCACTGCATGGGCCAGGCTTGTCGCCACGAGACAACAGGTCGTTATAGAATGCGAATCCAAGTTCCATCAGAAACCTATCCCTTGGTGCTTATGTGGGACAAGACAGACGCCAACCAGAGAGTATATATCTTCCAGTTGTAGCACCCTTTCGGTGCCTAGCTGCCGTGCCACCCGAGGGAAGTACGAGGGCTAGGATATTGCCAGGTTGCTCAAGCCTAGACAGGGGAAGTCGAGAGGCAGAGGTCGGGTTCGAACCACGGACCTTCCAGTCCATCTCGCCCCCAACCAGAGGTTGATTGCTATCAATCTAACAGGAGGCAAAATATTCGAATAACTACTCACTGCTGCCAAGCTCAATCACAACTAACTACGGCCTTGCCCAAGCACCCATTAGAGAACTGCATTCGAATCTTGTGCGGTATCCTTTTTGGGAGCAACTGCAAACCAGACAGTGATACTTCTTTGAAAACTAAAGACCATAGCAGGATAAGCGAGTAAAATAAGCTTATGTCGACTAGGTGAACGATGAGACTAGCACCTTGATCGATAATAGATACCGTTGATTTGAAGCTGGTACCACAGAGATACCAAATATTCGCCCCTGTCGGACCGCGAAGGAATCGCGACAACCCCCTGGGCATTGTGAATTTCCCTTCTCTACCGCATAGCGAAGACCGCGAAAATAAGCTTTTGTCGACGCCTCATCGTGTAGACAACAATACAGTATACATCAACGCGCGATCTCGCTTAGTGAGTGGGCACCAATAAAATGATGTTTGTTCTACGAAACCGATAAACTGCGCTCGTCTAGCGCCAATGAGAGAACATGCTCCGATGATCATAAGTTTCCGATTCACATTCAATCGCGGTCACACTCCGGCGCGAATGTAGGCAAATTTAGGATCGCTCGACTATACAACTACTTCTGGGGATATACGAGTCGAATCTTAGCAGTCATGTGCGGTTGAAACCCGAACGGAGTGAACTTCAGCGCAGTCGGAAAGCCACACACTGCGGACAAGTTGATCATCACTGATTTGACGGTAGGCTCGAGCAGACAGGACCGTGAACGCTTTAGCGACTAGCAGTTGAGCGTTTCACAAGATCGAACGAAAAGAGGTGCAGTAGCTGTGCGACGACCCAATGTCCGACATGCCAAGTCTGGAATTTGGTCACTACTTATGACGACACGGATATCATGGGACATAACCCCTGTATGCTGAAAGGCTCAGCTGACCACAGCCCAACAGAAAATAAACAGCCTCTCCAAAAAACAATGCATTTACATCCTATCCGAAATGTATGATCCAAGCCAGTGATTTGGGAAAGGACTAGGGGATGGGGGGTCAGCACAAGTCCGTTTTTACACCTTGTTGAATGCCACAACATCCACCGATTGCACGTAGTCCTCAAATTCTGTCATCGCCTCCTCAAGGAAATCTGTGCCAACCTGTTGAGCCAGAAAAATAGGGAAGATATCGTTGAGACGGTCATTTAGAGTGAAATGCGCGGTTTGGCAAAGACAATTAATTCGATTCTGTTTAACTCTACGCACTGCGTTTTTTCATTGCAGTAGTTCACTTTTTTTAGCCAATGCTATGAAGCCAATTACTCACAAATATTTATAGGACCAGCGTTAATTTTCAGCGATCCTAGTGGACAGGGGAGCGGCTGATATGCGACACTCCTGCTTGGTTGGATTCGGTGGAAACATACGATAAAGAAGATGGTCTGGGGAGGATGTTACCCCCTCGATGGACGAGCGGACGATTATACTAAATAGGTTAGTTATGCTTTTTAAGACACCTACCTCGCAAGACAGAGGACTGATGAATTCGTGGAGATCCTCCCGCCTAGCTAGACCACACGACAAAGCACAATAGCACCAACTAGTAAAGTTGGTCAGTTGGGTGACTACCGCGTCCGTATATGAGAACCCTGAGGCTTGATACGTCAGTAGTTTTTAATGCCAGCAGATATGATCCGATCACATAGCCGTCGATATTTCAGCGTTAAAGCTATCGCCTTCAGTGTGTAGCGGATCTACTTCTTTATCATCTGGATGATGAAACCAACGTATTCAGTGCTTGGTTATCTCCCTCCTGTCCTCCCAATTATCGGTGATCGAAACATGCTCCTGGTAAGTGAAATGACTGACTTTTTAACATACCCAAATACAGACCACTAGTCTTCAATCGAGACCAAATGACTGAGGGTGACGCAAATAGTTTTATGTTAACTGCATTGCTGTAATGTTGAAGCGTCTGGAAAGACGGTTTTTTGTCTCTGGCAAAAAAGAGCTTGACGCACAAGGGCATTCCAGTTGATGTATGACTTGAATGTGTTCAGGAGCGGATTCACCAGAGAAGCCTGACAAGTCAGGTACACATTCACCTAAATAAACCTGTGGTCAAGGGTGGGTATACACATAGATAACAGTTGGGCTGCATTACCGTAAATGTTGTCACGTAAAATACTCAATCCGTTCCAGTAAAAAAAATGGGTGGCCTCACCTTATCGTCCTCCACGACGCAGGATATCTGAAGCTTCTTAATACCATATCCGACGGGAACAAGTTTGGACGAACCCCAAATAAGGCCATCTGCTTGGATGCTACGGACAAGACGCTCCATTTCAACTAGATCGGTATCATCACCCCAGGGCTTCACATCAAAAATGATGTTCGACTTGGCTACCACGGCAGGCTCTACAAATAGAAATAACGGACAAATCATTCAGATGGGATGAAAAGCAAAGTGCCTGTCTCAAACCCGCTTCGCATGCCTGGCACGCAACCAAAGAAACGCGAAGAGTGCGTTGAGATGTATCCTAGGGAGCTCGGCTGCCGAAAGCTGCCAGTCGGAGGAAAATGACGGAACGCAGCCACAAATCGAAACTACAGGGAGTTTCACAAGAACTGAAATGCATTGTAGGTAATCCATATAACTTTTTGCGCTAACGCAAGCAGTCTCAAGTACCGGGGGAATCAGGTATTGCAGGCCCATTGACAGGTACTCCTTATAAACGGGAAAATCCATCTGTGATCGAGCACACCTCGACGATTACACACAGATGGACTAGATCGAGCAAAAGTAACTAGTGAAGAATGAGACCAGGACAGCAGACAAGCTCAATGAAGAAACGTATTCCTGAAGGGTTAAGGAACTGTAGACGGTTGTAGCTGCAATGACCCTCGGGTACCTAGATGTCATGCCATCCGCAGGAAGCACAGCGGCTGAGATACTACCAGGTTGCCCAACCCTAAACAGGAGCAGTCGAGATGCCAGAGAGTGGGGTTCGGACCACAAACTTTCCGGTTAGTGAGTTCACCCCTTAACCACTCAGCTGAGACAGCTCGCTAGTTGGGGTGCGAACTTAGTGACCAGAAGGTCCGCGTTTGGAAACCAAAATCCACATCTCGACTGTCCCTGTCTAGGCGGTATTTCAGTTCTCGGGTGTCCTTTGGTTGGCATGAAAGGGAGTTTACAGCTGAACAATTATCTTAGTACTCAGCTATTTTGAGATCGATGCTCATCTGGAAGAATAAGTCAGGTTGCAAAACCTGCATTCGTGAGGATTATGCATTTACAGATGAATGAAGTTGAAAAGTTCATGCACCGGTTTCTACACAAACACACGCAAACACCAACTGGGTGCGATTTTCGAATAATGAAAGATCCATTGGTAGGGCACTCACTCGTAGCTTTTTTGGCCTCGTATTCTGCTAAACGTTCAGCTCTGATACGCTCCGCTTCGGGGTCTTCCTGATTAAAAAAAGGGAGAAAGGAATCATTCACATCAACTTTGCTAGCCACAAAATACGAATTCAAGAGATACTACTGTCAAGCTACAGATAACATATAATTGTGAGCAAAGACGCGGTCGTACCTTGAGGTTTTGCTTAGCTCATCAGCTTGGTCAGGCTGCAACTAAGTAGTAATTCCACGTCCTTTAGAGCTTGAGATTGCTCAGCAGTCATGGTTCGAAGCTAATGACCGAAGGGTCCGTGATAAAAATCCCATCGTTGCGTTTCGATTGCTACTCTCCGGGCTTGGGTGACCTGACAGTGTTCCAGCGTTCAGACTGTACGGCAGCAAAGCGCCAGAAGGGTGCTACGGCTGAACGATTATTGTTGGATTTTACTGTCTTCAGAACAATTCCGACAATAGCTAACTAGGTACGTTGACGATAAGCTCACGAGTGGGTTTATTTTATAACGCCATATTGCACCACTGGCTCACATCCTGTTCGAATGATCAGTCCTGCAGGCACCACAAAGCTGGAACCGGGCAAAATTTACTCCAAGTTCGATCAGGTCACAAAGTTCTGAACTGTGTGGGAGAACTTGACATTAGTGATGAGAGACCGTAAACTGCAAATGCGGACCAATCACAGGCTAGAAACGGGACAATAAACCTATGGTGGTGTGTGCACAGACAAAACATCCAAAGAGCCTCAATGATCAAACTATTGATGCGTCGGGTCCTATTGAGCGCATGAAACTCTCATTCACACTTTTTTGTGATGGAAACACATTCACTAAGACATTTTGGTGATGACTTTCACAGGGGGAGAACTGAGCCGTCTAGTGTTCCTTGTGTTCTTGCGGACGATCAGTCAGAACAAGCCTATGCGAAGTGCCTCGCTACACACAAGATCGCTAAAAACTCTTCGACAGTTCTTCTTGAGACCAATAACCAGCTACATCTCTTCTCGTTCCAGTACGGCAAAATTCAAAACTAACCTCATCATCTGAGTCAAACAGCCCGCCTTCCTCACCACCATCACCGGCAGGCTTTGCCGCAGGAGCAGTGCGGTCGAGCACCATCTGATCGAGCTCCCGCATCTTGCCCAACTGCACTTCAAGCTCCGATATTCGTGTGATAAGGGAATTGACCGCTAAAGAGAGAAGGCAAAGGCAAGTAAGTTACTGGGAGGTGTCTGAACAATTTAGCTCGTTCAGGTAGCGGCGGCTACGTCCCATTATACTGGAAGCTTAAATGCAACCCAGGAAAACGGATGACAAAAAGGCACGGGACCGTGATGGACCATCAGACAGTTGTGGTGATGCAAGAGATAATACATAACAGAAGTGCGCCGAAGGATAGCCTCAAAAGCCTCGTCAGCCAGTATCTGACCTTGTCACGAAATACCAGTGTTTACACTGAAACAGGACGAAATAAATTGGTTGGGAGAGATAAGCACTAGCATGGACGGTGGTTGATGGTGATCGAAATTCATGGTACACGTTCTTGAAAGCCAAGGCTGCAACCACATTACCGTACCGTTCAGTCGTGCAACTAAGCGGAAGTAAAACCTTGACTCAATTACGCAAAACCGAACGGTTTGTCAAATGCCCCTAGTTGTCTAGAAGTGGTCTCTTTTTACAGTCCTCTTTTTAAGGGAGAAATGCCACGGGAATAGCATTCCCTTGGTCGACAGCTTTTCTGTAGGGCATCAGTTCTATAGGGGAGAGAATGCTTGTTTTAGCCAAGGTTCCCTATTCTGGGATTCCTATGGGCCGGTCACGGCAACAGATTTCATATCAAGATATCTGTCTGTATCTCACTTCAGGTGATGAGATTAGACGAAGGACTTCCATGAAGTCGACCTCATTAAATCGGCGCCTTTACTCATGGACACCTTTTTTTAAGGGAGTGTAAGCATCCAAAAGTTGACCCATGATCAGCGTGCCATAGTGCGTATTCGCGGAACAGGGTGTGGCACCATGTGCAAGCTGTTGATATCAATGGAATAAGACAGGCGGACAAAGACGCACATGCAGATGAACGAAGACGAACTTAGGAGCTGCTGAGCGATCGCAGTGGTTGTCACCCAGCTGTAGACAACGAGTAACACAATCTACCGTCTGCAACACCAAAGATTTCATTGTGTGATGCATGGATTGGCTTTGTTAAAGCAGGTCACACCCTCGGAGGTAAGACGGAAAAAGTCTCACTGGCTAACGGATAGTTCCGTGATGAGTGGATTCATCTTGATTTTCCGTAGAACGCACTAAAACCACATGCGATCCTACGGTGCGACCTCATGAAACTTGTCGAAACTTGACCATACTGGGGAAACACTAATACACTTGTAAGCAATGTTTTCTAGAGTTCCATTTGTTTGTGCTGTGCTTCAGAAAACCACAAAAATTAGATTACGACAACGTCCTGGGGCTGAGTGAGTCAAAATCGTTTAATACGATAATCATGGGACAACCAACAAAATAAGGTTGGCAATGTTTTTGAGAACGAAATCGTGACATGACGATAAACACATTATAGGGAGACAAGTACTGTAACTTGGAAGACTCACTTTTCTCAAGTTCGTCAATACGGCTTGTGTCCAAGGCACGAATAAGGTTCTTCTGCTAGGAAAGCAAGCCACAAAAACATAATTGGGGTGAAAATTCTGGCGTCAGCATACTCGGCTACCTAGTGCCGCCAAGTGTTGGTTGCTGCTACTATTGATTTGGATAAGGATTGCTGGCGTGAGTAAAAAACTGACTCAGTATCATAACCACCCTAACAAGACAGGTTTTGAGTGGGTGAAGATGCATCGCAACGTATTGTAGTTCAGTATACATAAGATGATCAGAAGTACCCCTGTTTGACTTATAGCTGCGTCTAACTTTTCAAATCCCGAAGCTTCAGTTCGGATTTCAGTCTCGAATTACTGGTAAACATTCCCCGTGGAGACTTGGGGCCAAAACAAATGATATACATCAACAAAGCATTTGTTAATCGTAGTGATAGGAGTGGCAAAAGCACAAGACCCCGCGTCCAGGAAAGTGGTGCTCTGTAGGATGAATTCTGAAACACTTATTCTAATCAGTGGTTACTCAGTGGTTAGAGCACCAATTTCTGACCGCAGGATCTGTGGTTCGAACTCGGCCTCTGCCTCTCGGCTTCCCCTGTCTAGGTTTTGGCAATCTGACAGTATCCTAGCCGTCGTGTTTCCTTCTGGTGGCATGGCAGCTAGGAACCGAAAGGATGTTACAGCTAAATGATTACCTTATCGTATTTTATTCCCCGTCAGAAAAGGTCGAAACTACGGAAGTCATGTGAAGGATGTCAAATTTTTCGCTTCAGAACTATTCCGCGAAGATACATTGATATGGCGATTGATATGGAAGAGGGACGATATTGTTGTTGTTAGCTGGCTGTTCTGCTCACATCACCAGTGTTGAATACTGAAGTTACACTGTCGATGAAGATGAGCATACTAATCATGTCATACCAAGCTCAACAGACAGATTATGACCTGGCCAGAGCTGTCGCACCCTTTCGGTGCCCAACTGCCATGCTACCCGAAGGTTGAACGAGGGCTGGGGATACTGCCAGGTTGCCCAAGCCTAGACAGGGGAAGTCGAAAGGCAGAGGTCGGGTTCGAAACACCGACCTTCCGGTCAGTAAAGTCCCACTCTAACCACTTGGGCCATCACGCCCCGACCTGAGGAGAGACCAGTAAACGCACCCGGGCTGAAAGTATTTGGACATATTACCGAGAGGTATGAAGAGCCATGAGATCGATGGGGTTAGTGTATATGTTGACCCAAAACTGAAACCCGTCTGAAATACTGAAGCGCTGTAATGATCTTGCGTAATCATGTTGGCCGTCTGCAGTCACCGTCGACTAATTTGGAGCTACGACCGCAACACAACATCAAGACCGCAAGTTACAGGTACCGGGTAGGCCACTTAAGGTGGCTAAATGAACGGCTCACTTATCAGGGGTCATCTCGAAGACAGTTATTTACTGTTAAGCAGCTAGGCTCATATGAACTAACGCTAGCTGGGCGCAGTGGTAGGTAAGTCGTAGGTAAACCCTAAAGTACTCAGATGTACTCAAATATAAACATTTCGGCGCACGGCTTGCCTACAGTTTCTGACGAACGAGTCAGAGTTGCCTCTGTGTAGTTCATCTGGCAACGTCGGTGAAGGAGTCTCACAAGCGGAAAGTTGATCGCTGTCTGCTTGTCGTGTCTGCTTACGCCCCAACTGACTGCAGCTCTGACACCAGCAAAGACAAGCTTTATGACACCTTGAGTGCCATGTTGCGACGAGCTCAAAGCTCATATATCTTTTCAGTTGCAGGAGATCTGAATGCACAAATGGGTAGAATTAACGCGTGAGATTCAACTGGGTAGTCGACTTGTATTGAACTCGGTATGTACGAGCATTAGCGAACGACTGTTTTAACAATGCACTGAACACAAGCTGTTTTCAGGTTGTCATAATATCCGAAACAACTGGATCCGTCTGGTCACTTGGTGCCATCCACAAACTCAAATTGATCCCATCGCCATCAGTTGCACTGGCGCGGATGAACAACTAACGTTGTTCGCTTTATAGCACGTGTGGTTTCTGACTACACGCTCATCCCGAGTAGCTTCTCACTCCGTTTTCCATGGCGTAGTGAAGAGTGGACAAATCGTTTGGCAACTGAGAAACTGGCAGATTCGAATGTTAGACGAATTACTAAAATCACTTCCGACTGTTCTACCATCAGATATGAATTCCTTCCGGAACAAAAGCGCCGCACCCATGCACAGTGCTCGGATTTTTTACTGTGGTATAGCGCTACCAGGTCTGTTCAAGCATTGGATATCAGACAGAGTATTGGCACTGCTTAAATTTGGGAGAAATGTTCATACCAGCTCCTGAAATAGCTAAGTCCGACGACTTATAGATTTAACGTTGCGTGCCCACAGAGCATAAAGCATGGGAGATTAAGAAAATGGGAGAGGCCGGAGGCCCAGAGATTACTTTAGCTGATTTTCGCGATCGGTCTTCGGAAACTGCCTGCGAGCGAGAAAACCAAAGTGACAAGACCATCTTGGATAAGGGATGCCTCGAATGCTGGGTCGAGCATTCTGGGAAACAATCCTCGTTCCACTCAGCCGGATCCCGGAACACCTGCTTCGAGTGCTTACGATTGCATTCACTATATCAAGCACCACCGAGCTCCCGGTCCGGATGACCTACCCGCATTGTTCAAGGATGGAGGTGAAGTCCTCAGTCAGCGTTTGTCTGGTCTGTTCGCCTGCATCCGGGAACAGGAGACTGTCCCGTACAAATTGAATCGATGATGGTACCAGTCTTCAAGGAAGGGGCTCGTAGTGAGTGTGGTTATTACAGGGGGTCAGTCGGAAACTGGTTGTTACGAGACTCTTGGCGTGAATTGTTCTCCGCCACTTTATGGTGACCCATGTAGCATTGAATCGAGAGCAACAAGCGGAATTCCAGCATGAGAGGTGTTTCATCTGCCAAATCTTGACATTCCATCAGGTACATAAAGGACCCACAATTGGATGGAGGTAAGTCCTCAGTCAGCGTTTGTCTGGTCTGTTCGCCTGCATCCGGGAACAGGAGACTGTCCCGTACAAATTGAATCGATGATGGTACCAGTCTTCAAGGAAGGGGCTCGTAGTGAGTGTGGTTATTACAGGGGGTCAGTCGGAAACTGGTTGTTACGAGACTCTTGGCGTGAATTGTTCTCCGCCACTTTATGGTGACCCATGTAGCATTGAATCGAGAGCAACAAGCGGAATTCCAGCATGAGAGGTGTTTCATCTGCCAAATCTTGACATTCCATCAGGTACATAAAGGACCCACAATTTTGTATTCGTGGATTTACGAGAATCATTCCAATTACTTGACCTGCTCGTTTTCCCTAACACACACGCCCAGAAGGGAATACCCAGGAAGTTTGTGAACATGGTAAATTTTTTGCACTGTTGAACTTCCATTCCTATTCAATTCCGTGATCGAGGAGATAATATGATGTTAATAAGGGCTGAAGATTGTAATAAGGTCGTGCCCACAGGGCTTCACAAGCCGTGAATATAGCTTCCCTCATCTTATTCCACTCATCCTCCGAATCGCGACTAACATTGCCGTACACGTTTATCTCTGAATTTTTGAGTAAATTCAACCTGATATCGTTGGGATACAGAGGAATGAAATCAACAGCCTCATGTCAATCTCGCCACCATCATCATCATCATCATCGACAGCATGACGTCGGTGTTCAACACCGATGCTTCGCTGCCGTACAACTGTGATTTATCTGAAAGGGATATATTGTGAAGAAAAGAATGAAGGTGGACGGGGAAGGGACTTAGTGTTGACTTACTAGTCATTCCGAGGTGCCTGCACCTCCAAACACTCATTCAGGCAATCTGGATAGGAACTGACATTATCGCCACTGACAGCAATATCTCGAAGCGTCTACAACCAGGCAGTGAGGATCGCGCGGCCCCATCCTGAAAGGCGAGTAGCACTGATGCTTGCACTACAAGAAACTAAAATTCGTAATCAGTAGACGTCCACATGGCCCACGTTCACAGTTGGCTTGTAGTTAAAGGCCTCCAGGTAACGCAGTGTGAGTGCTCGTATTGAGAGATGGCAGCACTGATGCACTACAAGAAACTAAAATTCGTAATCAGTAGACGTCCACATGGCCCACGTTCACAGCTGGCTTGTAGTTAAAGGCCTCCCTCCAACGCAGTGTGAGTGCTCGTATTGAGAGATGGCCCAAGTGGTTAGAGCACGAATTTACTGACCGGAAGGTCCGTGGTTCGAATCCGACCTCCGCCACTCGGCTTCCCGTCTAGGCTTGGGCAACCTGGCAGTATCCCAGCCCTCGTTCAACCTTCGGGTGGCATGGCAACTAGGCACCGGAAGGGTGCTAAGCTGAACGCTTTC